CAAAGGCCTTATGGAAATCCATTGCATGGAGGTTTAGCAAAAAAAATTTCTTTGAGCAATCAATTCCCCTCATGATGCTTAATAAATGGATCAATTGTCGCCTCAACTCTAAGGGGTTGCAACATGTTTGGATGTCTTTATTTTTTCACTATCATATGGTTCATATGGGAAGAGTTGTGGAAATTAAAAGCAATCCATGAAAACTAAAAAGAAAAAACAAACACAAAAAAAATAGACAACCAACCACAACGCAATGATATACGTGGTTCGACAACGTGCTTAGGTCCACGGGAGATGAGAATTTTTTTATTGACAATGAAAAATAAAGTTACAAAAGCTTTCTTCCTCATGCCTCTCTGATTACAAAACAATCTGCGTTTTTTTTCATCTTAACTCTTAACATTCATCGGTACAATATAAATAGAGTCATATACAAATTATCAAAATACCCATGTAGAGATATATATCAAACCATGTACACATATATATCGAGTTCCAGATAAATGGTATAAATTACCGAAATACCCTTATACAGATATTTGAGATTGTCCTCAGGGGCTGCCGTCCCAAAACGCCTGCAGGGGTCGAGTCAACCGAGTCTACCTGCACCGGACACTCCTCTAGGCCTCAAGCCCTTCGGGCCGTCGGCCCTCCAAAGTTGTCCCTTTGATTCCACCTTGACAGATCTATTTCTTCATAATACAAGACATCAATCCTCAACAAGAACATAACAATCGTCTCTTCGGAGGTAGATCAGCCAAGTGTGAATCCTTGACTACTCGAATTACCTGTCATGTTAGAGATTTGGTTGATGCCAATCCTCGTCTTTTCATCTTTCTGAGAAGCCTATAATACAAAATTTCTTGATGCAGTGACGTGAACAGAGAGCCTGTACCAGATTTCATGGACGACTCCACCCCTTGGACACTTTAAGCTCATTATTAATGGTGCTTCTATTTACAATCTTGGCCCTTCTGGCTGTGGTGGTGCTTTATGTAATGATAATGGGCATTTTATTGCGGCCTTTGCAAAACCGCTTGGTGTTGCTTCCAATAATTGTGCCAAGTTCGAAGCACGAGCTTCAGCTGTTGAATTGGCCATTCTATTGAAGTGTTTCCCTCTCCTAATTGAAAGCAATTCAAGTCTCCTTTTTAATGGCTGTCATAAGCCTCCTTTGAATGCTCCATATTGTTACCGCTGATTGCCTTCACATGCTCTCCTCTAGTGGACATCTTTTGCGGATTATATATATTTTCTGTGAGGTTAATATGGTAGTTGATTCTCTTGCAAAGAAAGCTATATCCTGCTCTGAAGCTACTGTATGGAGGGCTAAGCCCCCTGATTTTCTCTCCATTCCTTATTTTTTATGTTGCACAGATCCCCTATGACAAGATTGTACTCAGTTGAGCTTGTTTTTTTTCTAATCCATTCGTAAAAAAAAACAAGTAGGAGCCTTTCCCCAATGGCTTACCCAAAAAAAAAAATTCTTTTACTCACCCTATGGATACTTGAGAGAGAGAATTTGTCATGTCATCTTTGATTCACCTTATAAACACAGAGAAAGAAAATTTTTCATATATTCTTGGGAAAATTACGTAAGCATTGTTTTAGTTTTCGTTATTGTCAAAATATCGAATACTTTCCACTATTACTGATATGTCTGTTTTTTTTACTTCATAACAATTTTTGTTTAAAAAAGATGAAACTACCCATTTTCGGTTTTTCAAAAACCGAAATCAAGCTAATTTCGGTTTTTGAAGATTCGAAAATAGCCAATTTTTGGTTCATCGAGAACCGAAATTTTTTTTTTCTCTTATGGGTCCTCTGCATATTCTCTCTCTACCTCTCTCTCTCTAAATTACTCGAGTAAAAATGGTTTTTTTTTAAACTCTCTCTCTCCCCTTCACCCAAGGTATTGAGAGAGGAATTTGGCCTTGTCTGGACATTCTCATAGCTCAAAGAGCTTCAATTGACGATAGATCTCTTCTTGAAGGTAGGGCATCATGGGCTGGGTCATCAGATTTCCATTCTCCTCTGATGTAGGGGCTCAAACTGGTCGGTCCTTTGATTTTATCAGATAACTGTGACTTCAACGAGGAAGAGAGAGAATACACCATAATAGAGAGAAAACACCACAAAGGAGGTAGAGAGAGAATACGCCACAAGATTTCTCCTAATTTTCTAATCTCCTAACTCGTGAGACTTCTCCTAAATTTAGCTCGACAACAAACCAATAATGACTCCCCAAAATATGAGAAAAAACAATAACAAGGGAAAGGCTTCTGGTCAGGTTACAAGATTGTCATTAATGGACTGGCTCATGGTTCAACCACTCAGCACAATAATCAGAACCAAAATCGAAGGGGTCCTCCTAGAGCTAACGCTCCAAATAATAACCGAGCTAACGCTCCAAATAATAACCAAAGGCGAGATGATGATTTCACTCCTCTCAAAGACCTCTAGAAACTAGTTGTTCCCCCTGAATACGCCACAAAATTTCTCTTAATCTTCTAATCTCATAATCCATGAGAGTTCTCTTAAATTTAGGGGCTCAAAGTAGTTATTCCCCTTTAATTTTATCGGATAACTATGAATTTAGAGAGATAGAGAGAATACGCACAAGTTAGAGAAAATATTTTTCGATTATTGAAGAACCGAAAATTTAAAATTTTCAATTTTTCAAAAGCCAAAAGATCGTTTTTTAAAAACCGAAAATGGGTAGTTTCATCTGTTTTAAAAAATTATTATGAAGTCTAAAAAATGGATATATCTGTAATAACGTAAAGTATTTTGTATTTTGATAACAAGAGAAACTAAAACAGACATTTAAGTAAATTTCCCTATATTCTTTGATTCACCTCATAGAAACCTCAAAGAGAGAGACATCTTTGATTCACCTTACAAGCACATTACTTTTCATATGATCTTTGATTCACCTCATGGACACCTCAAGAGAGAGAGTGTACCGATACCATTTGAGTTCTCAAAATCCTAACCCTAATCTTGAAGATTCATAGTCAAAATTAGGAGTGGCAACTAATGGGAAAGCTTTTTATGTCCCCCTACAACATAGAAGTTTTATCCTCCCCCTTATCCAACCGTCCAATTTTGAATGGAGGGCTAAGAATGTCCCAATCACAATGTCACATTTCTACACTATTTTATTTTTAATTTTTTTCTATAAACTATTTTGACACCAAATTTTGGACATCCATTCTTCTATTAAACTTGCACTAACAAAAAATATATAAAAAAAATATCATCTATTAAACTCGCACTAACGAAAAATATATAAAAAAAAATATTTTCAATAAAATAAAATGGCTAAATACCCCTTAAAGTTTCAAGGGCTATTTTAGTCATTATTTTTTATTGAAAAATTATTGTTAATATTTTTTGTAGGTGCACCCCAATGAGAAGATGGCATGTACCAAATTTCATATTCAAAAAATTTGTATTAAAAAAATTAAAAATAAAAACTTTGAGATGTCGGATCTAAAATCAAACGATGACTGGATGAAGTGTACTTTCATCATAAATGTAGAGTTGTCCATTTTAAATGGAAAATAGATTTTATTCAAAATAGCAACAAATATGAAGGAATGCTAGGGGTGGCATTGGACACGGGATCTGAAGTCGAGACCCGACACGGGTCTAGGTATGGGTCTAAAAATTGAACCCGACAGGTCAAGTCCAGGTCCAAATATTTGACCTGAACACTATTCGGGGCCGGATCCATGTGGACCCAACCCAAATAGTGTTATGATATAAATAATATTAAATTAATATTTCAATAAATACAACTATATATTTTTAGTTATAATATTTAAATAACATATATATATATATATATATATATATATATTGGGTTAGGTCCTGGTCTAGATCCAAGTCGCATTTTTTGTTGTCGGCTTTGGGTCCGCATCCTGTTGGACCAAACCCATACCCAACCTGTTGGCACCCCTAATTGGAATGCTACTCTTTGCTAGCTTAAATTATAAAGAAAAGGTTCCTATACTTCCCCTACAGCATAGAAGATTTATGCTTCCCCTACCATCCAGCCGTCCAATTTTAATCAAAAGAGCCACTCACTGTTTGATCCTAGATCCAACGTCTCAAAATATTTTATTTTTAGGTTGATGTTTATACCTCTGAACCATATATTGTAGAAATGCGATCCAGCCGCATGAAACAATTTTCCTTCAATAAATGGTCTACAATAAGTCAAACGCATTTAGTCGTACAACCAAACAGGCCCTTTAATTTACACATGAATTTTCCATAGAAAAGAGGAGAAAGTAGGGTAAGACCTAGCTTAGACCTCTAGGTGGACCATACACTTGGAGGCCACTGACTCCCAGCAAGTTTTTTTTGCTGAGTAATGCATTTGTTTATAGCAGTTACTTTCAATGATCTCCAATGGAAGTTGCCACGAAAAAACCTACTTCTCTCTCTCTCTCTCTCTCTCTCTCTCTCTCTAAGTTACGTACTAAACGGTCTACTACGTACTTAAACGTTACTATTACTTTTACTTAGTTACTTACCGTTACTAACGTTAGTACGTAGGT